AAAAAAAAAAAAAAAAAGCAGAGGTAGTCGTTCAGTCTGTAGATAGAGGCCGACCACTTTCACGGAGAGGTAACAAAGAATATTAATCGCCAATATAGTCGATATATCAGAATAGTCATACTTCGAGTATGACATTTGCAGCAAAACTTTGACATGTAAAATATACTTCCAGCAGCATGCCTCCCACGAATATTGCTCTATACCAGTCAAAACTTGCTTGACGTTCCTCCGAGCGGCGGAGATTGCGGAGTTTAGCAAGATGTGCGATTATCGGAGTTTGTTCATATCCAAAGAGACGCCCGGAATTCCTCTGCTATCCGCTCTTTAGTGCCACCATCCCAAACGCGCGCTTCTTTATCATGGCTCAGTCCCCCGAAGCGGAGCCATTGGTCTCCTTATGGACGAGATCTTTGCTTGTATGCTGATACAATCACGCTTGGTCCCCCTTCAAACCCCCCAACTTGATCATCTGTCAACTAACCTTCCCTATCGCACAAGTCTGGTGCATTGGCCGGGCTCACTGTCGACTGTTCTTTGTACCCTTTAGATACGATCAAAACACGCCTTCAGAAAGCTAGACACCATGCCCCATCAGCTCCCGCCGCCAGTCTGTCCCTGAGACAAACCATCCGAGGAATCTATGCTGGCCTCCCTTCCGTCCTCTTCGGCTCGGCACCATCAGCCGCATCCTTCTTCATCGTCTATGATGGCGTGAAACGTTCTCTTCTACCAGCGTCGTCGGGCTCCGAGACTCCGTCCCGGACACACATAATTCTTACACACTCTCTTGCCTCATCGATGGGTGAGGTAGCAGCCTGCGCAGTTCGCGTGCCTACTGAAGTTGTCAAGCAAAGAGCTCAAGCAGGTCTCTTTGGCGGCTCCAGTTTGTTGGCCTTAAAGGATATTCTAGCTTTGCGCCACCCAGATGCTGCCCGTGGGATAAGTGGGGGTTATGGACAGGTCATCAGGGAACTGTACCGGGGAGCCGGTATCACCATTGCAAGGGAAATCCCGTTCACCGTTTTACAGTTCACTATGTGGGAATCAATGAAGGAGGCATATGCCAAGCGCATGCAGCATGCTTCGAAATCTGGCTCAGGTCCTTCTATAGACCAAGTACCCGCCTCCACAAGTGCTATGTTTGGCAGTGTCGCTGGCGCAATTGCGGCCGGGCTCACGACCCCTCTCGACGTCATCAAGACGCGAGTCATGCTCGCTCGACGGGGGGATGTGGAAGGTGGCCGAGTGCGGATAAAGGATGTGGTTCAGGATATTTCCAAGGAAGGGTTAGGGGCTTTCTGGAGAGGTATCGGGCCACGGGTAGCCTGGATCGGTATTGGAGGCGCTGTGTTCTTGGGTAGTTACCAATGGGCATGGAATTCCCTCGAAAGAAAAAGTAGGTCACAGGACGAATAAAGGACTCATGTATATATAATTTCCACGCTTGTACAATACATCATAGCATATAGGATAGGGCGCTCTCCCTGCACTATACATGGTCTCAGCTCTTTCTTACCATCCACTTCAGCTCCTCCACTTGTTCAGGAGTCAGTAGCTGTTCCATCTTCTCTGCTGGCAGGAAGTCATGGTCATAGAACTCAAATCCTGGAACAACGGTCTTGATCGATCGTCAGCTCTCGTCCCTTTTGATACTAGCAGCATACTGGCATTGATCACTGACCTCGCTGATTAACAGCCCTTCTGACCTGTCATCGTCAGGCAAATCGCCATCGGAATCCGGCAACAAATAGCTGGACTTATACTTCCCGCCCTCCACCACCCATTGCAGTCGCTCTCCCTTCTCAATCCGATGGCCCACCACAAACGATTCAATGGGCGCTTTCCCTCCATTCTCCTTCGCCTGGTCGGCATGTAGGATGACGTACCGACCTCGGCCACGATGAAGGGTATGTACCGTGCGACTCCTGTTGCGATGGAAATACCCCATCGGCGACCGGGGCGTGATAAAGTAGTAGATCGTAGTGCTCGCTGACCGGGTAGCTTTCTCAGCATCTGGTTCCATCACTGTCTTGCTGCTGTCCGTGTCGTCACGATAGGGATTTGGAATCCGGAGCGGATGGCGATCGGTTTCGCTGTAATAGCCTCCCTCGGGGTGAGGTTGTAGTTGAAGGGCCTGGATCGTCTTCTGAATGGTCGGCGATTCAGGTGCGCTCTTTTCGTTGCGCGCAGGTGGTTGATAGTAGGGCTTGATGGAGGTGATTGAGGTGTCCATTTCTGCTGTTATTTACTACTATTTAGTTTGTTTTTCTGTCAAGATGGAAAAGATTATAGCTGGAGCGTTAGTATTATAAGATGGGATTCTCACGGAGGTTCAAAGGACTCTCTATTTATATCTTGCTTATGCCCCGATGACCTCATTCTCAGAGCTTATCAGGCCGCCAGCCAAGTCCATAAGGGATCAATCACATGGAATTGCATATTAGCAACAACGTATATAACGAGTTGAATTGGTTATATATTTAATATCTGGTACTCCCGGTACCCCGTGCTAGTGGAAGTAGGGCTTGCGTTGAGCTACTGGTTCGTAGGAATTGATTCTATGGACTAGTTGCATACACAGTATACTAAAACCTCCATGGAATACAACCACTGGCACCTGGCAGGGTACTTCTAGTAGTATCTTTACGTGGCTTTACAGTAGGTATTTATTAGGTAGCTCCTGTTAGCGTTACTGTACTAACATTTACTTTCTATTATGTACCCGAATATTCTTGTCCTGCTAAGATTCTGTTAAGTCCTAATATCTGCATATCTGCTTATCGCTATTGAAACCATTATATTATTAGATACTAAACCTTGGGGTTGTTGGTATGTATGGAGCCTGTCTAATCCCTTTTTGATTTCGGATGGTGACCTACTAGCAAGACCAGACGTTTTTGTGGCTTATAATGAAAATGAACTTCTATACTGGTGGGTTAGGGAGTCGCAAATAGGATCCACTAATTCCCCACGCTTGCGACCTGGGGCTAATACGCTGTATTAAATCGAAAATAATGCTAGTCGTTCGCATAGATAGACATGTCCGTATAGTAGGTTGGTTTTATAAGTGACGTAGTGTTGCTCTCAGTATACATAAACTCATCTGGTATACGTATATAATATCCCGAAGTTCCTGCCCCAACTCCCAGCTTTTTTAGCCATACTAATACCCCCAATCTTTGGGGTCCAGGTTGGTTTGGATTCTAGTCAGCTTGGTAGAAAGCCGGATTAATGAGTAAGTAGAGGATTGATCTAGATTGATTCTAGATTGCTCTGGCTCTGACTTAATATTTAAGGAGCGCTGAGGGAGTAGTACTCCGTATATGTATTTCCGGTTTACCCCACACTCTGCGATTAAATCAATTAAGCAATCATTGAGTAGAAAGCGGCCATGGTCTAGTCCCGTTCCGGAGAATATATAGTTTGGACTGAATAGTAATTAACATCCCGCACTGGTTCGGTTGAATGTACTTGTGCTGCAGTAGAGCTGAAAGTATAATACAAAAGAATGGAACAAAAAGGAAGTAGAGAAGGAATAGATAGGTGGATATTAGTATACCACTAGGATTATGTATGGTAGGATGGATTTCACTGCACCGCGTGGTGCCCATCATGTGAGGAAGAGGGATGACCTTCGGGGCTAAACTGTAAAGGAGCAAAATCCAAACTTAAGATAATCAAAGCCTCCACGCTTGTCATTTCCAGGCACACCACTTAAACAGTAGCGCTTCTCTTTCTCTCTCTCTCCTATCCTCTCGTGCCGTGGTTCTCTCTTTCTAATTCGTCTCCTACCCACCTTCTCTTTGGTGTATTGTTTCCTGTTTGACTTTTGCGCATTGTTCTTAATCTATTTTATTTCTTTCTTTCCTGTCCCTTCCTTCTTGTACTAAGACGCAAGAGGGATGCTTATGGTTGCGACTGCTGCGACTTGGTGAGTGATCGACCGCCCACTTGGTGTAACCTCCGCACTGAGCGCCGTCTCCTCCGCACCTCCTCCTCAACTTGCCTCTCCGGAGGACCTCAACGCTATATGGCTCGGAAATTAAGTCACCAGAGGATCACATATGGTATGGTTTTTTTTTTTTTTTTTTTTCTCGCTGAATTCAGTCTATCGATTCACACTCTCGGTGGTGTTTCTGCTGCCTGGTCTTACGCTTGTCTCACTTGTAGATCCTCCACTAACGATTGTTTTTCGCTCTGCTCAGTGCTACCTCTGCCTGATGCCCCCGGTGGTCATCGGCTGGGAGTAAACGGCCTAGAAATCGACACAGACAACTCCATCCTGTGAGCACCCTCTAACTCCTCGATCTCGGCTTTCCCGTCGGGATCCTTGTCGCGCCCTGGGAACGGTCGCTTTCCCGTCTTCTCCGGTGTCGCCGTCAACTCGGCGCTAACTACCGTCCGTGAAACAGGTATTCCGCTGGTCGCGATGGTGTCATCTGCTCATGGGATCTAAATCTATCGCTGAAGTCATCGTCCCCTCCCACCTTGGGCGCTTCCAAACCGGCTCCCACGACATTCCGAAATCAAGTCCAGGCGCACAGCCACTGGATCAATGACATTGTTCTAACTAAGAACAACTCGGCTCTAGTCTCTGCATCCTCCGATACTACTGTACGGCTATGGCGACCGCATTCTGAATGTACAGAAGTCTCGGACCCGATTGGGAAACATGCGGATTACGTCAAAGCTCTGGCCACACCGGGGAGTCATGCCTCTTGGGTTGCGTCCGGAGGTCTAGATCACAAAGTCTACCTGTGGGACTTGAATCGCGGCGGGGAGATATTGAATATTGACGCCTGCGGAGGGGATAGCACGGCTAAAGGGTCTGTATATGCGCTCGGAGCCGTATCTTCTGTGATCGCCAGCGGCGGGCCAGAGAGTGTGGTCAGAGTGTGGGATCCGAAATCCGGGAAGCTGATTACCAAATTTGTCGGACATACAGATAACATTCGAGACATTCTGGTAAATCGGGATGGGGATACGATCATGACGGCGTCGTCTGACCAAACGGTCAAGATCTGGTCTCTAACCGCTGGAAGGTGCATGCACACATTAACCATGCACAATGACAGTGTTTGGTCGCTTTATTCAAACCACCCTCAGCTATCCGTCTTTTACTCGAGCGACCGGTCTGGTCTTGTTGCGAAAACTGACACGCGATATGCGGCGGACATTGAGCAAGGTCTCTGTGTCGCAACGTTGCAAGAACACGACGGAGTAGTCAATGTCGTAGCAGCGGGAGACTACATCTGGACTGCGACACCAAAATCTAGTATTAATCGTTGGAATGACGTGGACACCACTGCCGACATTGAGCCACCGTCATCAAGGGAGCGAGAAACTGCTTCAGGTACTGATACCACAACATCAGAGAACTCAAAGACGACAGATAGTCGACCGAAGAAGATTCCGTATGAGTCTGTTCTTTTGCTCTCGAGTACTTCGACGTTCCCCAAGGCAAGGGTGCCCGAAACTACCCAACCGCACTCGAATGCAAATGCGCAGTCACCGTCATCCGAGATAGAGGACGAACTGGAGCTTACGCTTCCTGTCCATGCACTGCCAGATGATACAATCGAGGGCCAGCATGGATTGATCAAGCATTTTTTCTTGAATGACAGAAAGCGGACGTTAACGCAGGATTCTGCTGGTGAAGTGGTTCTTTGGGACCTTCTCAAGGTATGCCTTGTTGATATAAGCCATCTGGAAGGGAAATCTCCACGGCAGAACTCGCTAATTAACGGCTTGTAGTGTGTGCCAATTCAGTCATATGGCAAGCGTCATATAGACGATGTTGCATCCGAGCTCAACACGACAGAAAGCATTGCTCACTGGTGCACGATCGATATCCGTACTGGAAGATTGTCCGTGATACTGGAACCAGGTCGCTGCTTTGATGCCGAGGTCTACGCTGATGAGGCCAACTTGTCAGATTATTCACAGATTCGTGACGACCAAAGAAGTATGTCTAATATCCCCACCCCACCACCTCGACCCTTGTCACCCGCTCGGGTTTATTAGCTAACGGCCAAACCGTAGTCAACCTAGGCAAATGGATCTTGCGCTGGCTGTTTGCCCCTCTGATAGAGGAAGAGCTCAAACGCGATTCTCAATATCGCAGCGCTGCCCTAGCAAAGGCCGAGGAGCTCACAAAACTAAATCTGTCGAATACCTCCGCCCCTATGGATATACCATTTGCGGATGGGTCACGAAATCTAGCCGCATCTTTTGACCCATCAATATCATCTCTGAGGCTCGGATACGAATCTATTGGTAGCCCCTCGACTCCAGGCTTTGGGATAGGGTTCGCCAACAGCCCCGGATCTCTCGCAACCCCAACGCTTAACCCAAATGCAAGCAATAATAGTCACCTCGGCACCTCACCGGGAGAGTTTTCTGACTATCTCACGTCTCATCCCACTGCTGATATGACAAGGAGCTCTCTGTCGGACAAGTCGAGTGACTATCTCTCATCGCCTAGAACCCATGGCCTACCTCCTTTGGATACCGATAAGGCGTTGCCGACACCAGGGGAGCCGACACCAACAGCTCTTCCACAATCACCGATGGAGCCTGATAAAGAGGAGCGGAAAAAGGGCAGCTCTTTGTTTGGGAAGAAGTTTAGAATGGACTTCCCAAAGAAACTCGGTCGGACTTCATCGGAAGTGAAGCCCCAGATTCAAGAGGAAAAGGTGGAGGAGTCCGACAAATCCTCAGTAAAGGAAGAGAAAGTGTTCGAAAACAACCTAGGCGGCTTCATTGAGCGCATCCGTTCTGAATATGACGAGCATCTCTCTGCACACCCGGGGCAAGAGCTGACACCAGCCTTCTCCCCAAGTCAGGAGAATGAAACACCGGTGCTGAATATACCAGACCGTGTTGCAGTACTGATACAAGAAGAAACGGGAGAAACTGCTGTGGCTTCTGACCTCTATCGAGGCAGTGTAGGAAGTATCCGGGAAGAGATCGATAAACTGGAGAAATCGATTCCTCTGTGGCTTGCTGATCTGCTACTCAAGGTATGCCGCCTCTCCACAGTGGCCCACATTGCCTCTAACTCTTTTCATAGAACCAAGTGCCTTTTAAGGAACCCGTCAAGGTCGCTTTTACGTTGAAACCGTATGATGATCTTTTGCCGCCTGTTGTGAAGCCAGAAGTGTATGTAGAGGACCCGTCTAATATCATCGCCTCAGAGATAGCAAACTGATTATCATCCAGCAATGTCGCCAATGGCAACACGACCAACAACCGGCTGAATGCAAACCGCATGCTACGAGCGAAGAAGATCCTTGCGTATGTGGCCGAGCGAATCGACTCACCGAACCCTGACGAACCCGAAGAGAATGCGATGAAGCCAGAAGAGTACTTGGAACTGTACTGTCACAAAGTGGTATGTCACGTTTATGTTCGGTGTAATTGAAGCGGTCGCTAACGTTTAACTAGCTGATACCCCCCAACATGACTCTGGCGACGATTCGCACTCATATTTGGCGTTCATCGGGTGATATGGTGCTCCATTACAAAGCAAATGGAAAGAAGGAAATTCGAATGCCCGGCCCTAGTCAAGAGGATGACAGAGGCAACCAGGAAGCTGGAGCAGATTCACACCTGCCTGCCGAAGCAGGAGGCATGTCGCAGGGAGAAGGCGGAAGTGCACCGCCAGGGAGTATCCATTCGCAGACAGCCTCTGGGTCGACCTCCGTCTCTATCCATAACCCTTGATTCGAGTGGAGAGCTTTAACTTCTAATTCTTTGTGACATTACTTCTGTGTACAGTGCTGGACATAGTGTGAATATCCGCATGGACGTAAAGGATCGTATGTATATATGCTGCTGATAGCAGCCACAATCAGGACAATAACACTGTGTTTGAAATTAAATTCTAGTTGTAGAAGCTGGGGAACTATGGACCGTAGTCATGTCATGGTCGAGGTCGATATAAAAGATCGCCGGAGCGGATCATCCGTGCCAAGACCCAAAACACTTGCCATTTATCCATTGAACTTCGTACCACATTTCTTACAACTGAGCACTACACGCCGAGAAGGCTTTCTCACGGGAGAAATCACCAGTGAATCTATGGCGGCGTTCCCCCTCCGGCGCCATACCGGTACACAAGCAATAACGGCCTCGCAATCCCTGGAATCCTTCCAGCGAGTATGGCTCGGCTCCCGATTGTCGCGGCCCTTCCCACGCCGATTGGGTAAGTTGATATCACCCAACTTTGGGAGCTGTAGATTCCCATGCTAATACCTTGTAGGCCTAGCAGTCAGTGGTGGCGCAGACTCAATGGCCTTAGCATATCTCAGTAAGCAATGGGAAAAGAGTCGACCGAATGATATATCCGTCACGGCATTCGTCGTCGACCACAAAGCAAGAGAAGAGAGTACTCGCGAAGCTATTGTAGTCTCACAATGGCTCCAAGACATCGGTATCTATGCTCTATCATCATACATCCTAACATTCAATACCAAACAAACGCTAACCAAAAAACTCAGGAATCAATTCCGAGATCCTTGAATTGATCTGGCCTGAGAGCACCATGTCACCATCCAAAGTGACCGCGTTCGAAACGCATGCCCGCAGGCTCCGTTTCCAAGCACTGGGCAAAACATGTCGAGATCGCCAGATCGAAGCCCTCCTAATGGGCCACCACCAAGACGACACCGTCGAGACGACTCTCTGGCGACTCTGCACCGGAGCCAAAGGCGCCGGTCTAGCAGGTATCCCCGAAGTGACACGCATCCCCGAATGCCACGGTATCTACGGCGTCTCCGAGAGCGGATCATCATACACGATCCCATCCGGACCTCAATCGTCGAGAAACGACACCACCGTCTCAACAGGAGGAATCCTAATCTGTCGCCCCCTCCTCCCCTTCCCCAAATCCAGCCTTCTGGCAACCTGCCACGAAAACAACATCCCCTACGTCTCTGACCCTACAAACTTTGACCCAACCCTAACCCCCCGCAACGCAATCCGCAGTCTCTTGGCTGAGAATAAACTCCCAAAGGCCCTCCAAGGCCCTTCTATTCTATCTCTGATTAATTCAAGCCAATCCCTCCTCCGGAATTCCACATCCCTCTCAAACACCCTCCTCACCTCCTGCAAAATCAACCATCTGAATCTCCCTGCGGGGACAATCACCCTCACGTTCCCCTCAAAACCAATAGACCCAACCTCCTTCCTCAACACAGTCCCCAACAATACCAATACCAAAAGAAAAGCCAAAGACAACGACAAAGAAAACCAAAGAATCCACCAAATCAAATGCCTCACCCTCCGCCGAATAACCGACCTTCTAGCCCCATTCCCAGAGAACCACTTCCCACTCCGCAGTTTCGAGTCCTTCACGGATCTTGTGTTTCCAACACTGGCCCGTCCGGATCCCAAACAAAGGAAACCATTCACGTTAGGCGGGGTGATGTTCCAACCGGTGAAGACCAAGGGGGACCAAGACACAATAAGTACTGAAGCGGATCCGAGTACCAAGGGTGATAATACCTGGCTCTTATCCCGTCAACCGTTCATGCGGAATCGGTTACCGACTCTTCGGGTTGAAGTTCCTGCTTCAGGACTTTCGGCGGGTTATACGTCCTGGAGGCTTTGGGATAATCGGTTTTGGGTTCGATTTAGTATTACCCCCGAACAGGGTTCCCATGGGGCTGGAGTTGAGGTGGCTCAGGAGACCTCTAAAGAGGAAGTGATATCCCTACTTGTTCGTCCGTTTCAGCCGTCGGATCTACAGGTGATTCGACGGGCGGTTGATGAGCGGGGAGGACGTTCGGAGAAGAAAAAGAGGGTGGATCCTGCTTTGGTTGGACTATTGGATCAGCTTGGACAGGTAGCGCCGGGACAGACTCGGTTTACGCTTCCTTTGGTGGTAATTGAGAAGGGTACTTGTGGATTTGAATATGACTGGCCGGTGGGGTTGCCCACATTGGATTTGTGGTTTCCTGGGATGTGGGAGTCTTTGCAGATGCCCGGGAGATTACGGTGGGAGTGGATGTATAAGATGATTGACAACGAGCCGATCAAATTGATGGGCTGGCTGTAAGCTATTGGAGCTATACTACATTATCGAAAGAGAGTGAAATATGACAGTGGAAGTGGTAAGACACGAGGAGTAAAAGTGAAGTAAAGGTAGAAACAGAATGACAAAGAAAGGAAAAGACAAGGTAAGAAAGGGAATAAAAGATGACCGACATGTAAACTCCTATGGCTACGCTATCTCAGTGCAATTGAGAAGTGACCAAAAGTGGACAAGCATAAAGAACGAAGACATCGGATACATGAAAATAGCCAAGAAGATCTGCATCGACTCTCAAAGAAAAAGAAAGAGAGCATTTATCCACATAGTAAGGAAGGTGCCGTATGAAAAAAAAAGAAAAAAAAAGAAAATAGAAAGAGACTTTCCTGAACTTCAATCCCCATACCGAGCAATCATATTTCTTCCTGGGCATATTCAAAGGCTGTGCTGACGCCGTAGACCAATAATAATCGAGTATAAAGTAATGCAAAACGGGAAAAGGAACGTCTGTGTCTTAGTAAATGCGTGTAAATCGTGTCCAATCCATTTCGATTTCTGAAAAAGAGCAGGTAAGAGGTAAAGAAGTATACTTCCATGACCGGAGTCTTGGAGGACGACCACTGGCCCAAAACCACAATTCGATCGTTCACTCGCTCGCCTTCAGTAAGGCCACCGCGGCTTGCTGAGCTCTCAGACCCCCAACCTCTCGCTTCAGCCGGAAATTTTCTTTTTTCAATCGGCCAATCTCCTCTAACGCTGAAGAGAGTTGGGATTTGAGCGCATCTTCAGCATCTCCTGCTCGCACGTCTTTTGCAACCTTGCTCAGCTCCGAGTTAAACCGGTCATAAAGGGCTTCATTCTCGGCGCTGGCTTCACGATATAGCTCGTCAAGTTTCTTAGCTCGTTTCTCGCTAACTACGAGTGATGACTCCAAATCTTTCTCGATGGCAGATGTCCGGCTGTTGAACTCTGAAGATAGCGTATCGAAACGCATCTCGAGGTGGCGAACACGCGATACGAGGGCCGCATTGTTTGTTGGCGAGAAAGGTTCATCCAAATGATCAGAATCTTGTCTTGCATGTCTGGTTTGCTGTGGTGGTGCGATCTTGAGCGCTCGTAATTCCTCACCGATAAGGAATAGTTCGTCCTTCAGCCCCAGCTGTGCCGCACTCTGAGCCTTCTTTTCGTTCTGAAGACGATCTCGGAGCTGTCATTTACCGTTTGTATTAGTAACTTTCCTAGAAAAGAGAGCAAGGAAAAAGAAAGAAAAGAAAAGTTGTGTACCTTCTGTGGACTTTGCATCCGAAGCTTTTGCGGCTTCTGCACCGATGCACCGTTAACAGGGAGTGGCCGTTCCTTCAATCCAGGGGCCCTCGAGGAGGGTACGCTGGTTGCTCGTGACCTTCTCTTAGAGTCTTGTGTAGGTGATACCGATGCATCCCCTTTCTTTCTCAAAGATGTTCCGCGCTCAACATGTGAGAGCTTTGGGTCAATGTTTTCTTTTCGGCTGGGGGTGGCAGGCCGCGTCGGTGATCGTCGGCTGGGCGAAGTCATCCGAGTAGGTGAACCGCTCTTAGTGGGGGAAGTGCTTCGTTGCGTCGAGCCTGAGCCATGGTTGGTTTGTGGGCGAGTCTGTTTGGTTGGGGTCACTACATCGGAGGATGAACCTGCTGTGGTAGGCCGCTCTTCCTGCCCCGGTGATACGGCTGACGTGTCCGTTGATGCCGTGCCTGGTCTCAGGTCCGACAGAGAGCTTCTCCTCTTCCTCCGCACTTTCACAACTCCATTAGTTGGCATTTCTCGAATGGAGGACAGAGATGCCGTCTCCTCCTGGGAACTGCCTGGTCTTCGAAGATACTCTTGTGATGTAGACGCCCCGGGACGGTCACGCGAACCAGGCCGCAGAAGATGGCCTAAGCTCGTATCGATATCTATTGATTTCGAGCGTAGCAAAGAGCCCTTCGGAGTGCCTGGCTCTGAATCACCAGAGCCTTTGCTTTTGCTTAGAGTCCTTAAGATCGACGAAACCTTGCTCTCCCCCTCAGATCGTTGGTTTTCTCGGTGCAGACTGAAACCAAATCGCTTTCGGAAGGACGACGCGTTGGAGCTTATTGAGCCCATCGTTTGTGAGACGGGTTTACTTTGATCGCAGTTCAAAATACCTTCCAACGATGCCCCTCCAGGAATGAACTCGTCGAAAAGGTTATCGAAATCGTCAACCAGTCGGTCCAAGAGGGATATATGCTGCATCGGATCGCCTTCGACGGTCAGAATCTCTGCAAAAGCGGCCGTTAGGGCACCTCGGTCGCCATCGTTTCCGGAGGCATCAAGTAATTCTGCAAGTAACCGCACAAGGGAAGCTAAAGCGCGACGATTCTGCGGACTCGTCTCCGCAATGAATTTCCGGAAATTCTCCTCAAATTCGCGGGGATACATGGTGTCGAACTGACTTTGGAGTGATTTCAATGACGAGGATTCCAGTACTGGGCCCATTTGCTCCTGCCATGCGTTTGCCATGAACGTCTCGAAGGCTACGAAAAGTGTGTCGACAGGTACTTCGGCTGCTGCCTGGATTTGTCCAGGATCTTCTAACAAGACATTATACAGCTCATTGACTGCAGCTCGATCAACGTTGTCTCTACCCCGAAGTGTCCGCCCAACGATGTTCCCACTGCGGGACTGAAGGGAGAGGACGTACGCAGCAAAGCTCTGTTCCAAGACACTGAACGGGCTTTCTGAGCCTTTCGAAGACGTCGTCCCAACAACGGAAATCTTGGGCAGGGGTTCTTCTTTTTTCTCTTCTTTGCCTGGGAAAACCGAAGGTAGTGTATTGGAGCGTGAGACGCTGGACCGTGGGGGAGGCATCTTAGGGAATTCACCCAATAAAGTTGCAGAATTCGGTGTCTTGGCACTTGGTGTGCCTTCTCTTGATTGATTTCCACCCAGAAGACTTGAGAGCAGTTTTGA